AAGAAACCTGAAGCTATTTCAAATATCTCTCGACCATTAGCTATCAATGCGTTCACTTGAGTAAAAAAGTATTAACAACAATTTTCTAGTCTAAGTCTTAGTCTGTAGTTCGATAAGCTGCCTCAGTGACTCTCAACTTATGAAGCTTGAAAAGCTCGAAATGCATATGCCCTCTTGGACAGTTACCCGAAGAGGGCAAACGGCTAGTGGAAATCGAAAAACTCTAAGCTGGCAGTTAGAAAGCGTGTAGCACGGGGAAGGGCAGGCAGAAAGAAAGTGCAGCATTTTCGCTGGCAAAACGTATAAAATAAACATATGAATATTTATGCCAGACAGCGACGCAGCGTGGGCGGGGCATGGAGCGCGGCTGGAGCTGGCTGGAGAGAGAGCGACAAGCGTAAGAAACAGTGGAAAATCTCGAATTTTGTTACAAGCGTTTTGCTTTAAGGCTACTTCAAGTGCAGTTTGTAAAGGAATTACTGTCAAAGTCCTGCGCTAAGAGAGAAAAAGAGAGAGAGAGAGAGAGAGAGAGAGAGAGAGGGAGACAGGAAAGGCGGAGCTGTGAAGGACGGAAGCAAAGAGGGAGAGAGTGAGAGGTAAAGGTAGAGAAAGAGGGCGCGCTAAAGAAAGAGAAAGAGAGGGAGAGAGATGGAAGAAAAAGATGTAGAGAGAGTGAGAGAGAGAGAGGGAGAGAGAGCTAGAGAAAGGAGAGCTAAATAAAGAAAGTGCAATAGACCTAGAGAGCTAGAGAGTTGGCAGCAAACTAGAGAGTGTTTGATAGAGAGAAAGCGAGAGGCGTTAGAGAAAGAGAGATGAGATATATTTAAGTATATAGAAAGAGAGAGAGAGATAGATAGAGCGATGTATATAGAGAAGCAGAGAAGAGAGGCAGCGCCAGAGTGAAAGATAGTTATATATATATAAAGAGAGAGGGAGAGGCAGAGGGAGATATAGCAAGAGTAAGATAGAGTTATATAGATAGAAATAGGCTGTGAGATAGTGAGAGGCAAAGATAGAGTGGGTTAAATAATTATACTGTGTGAAAGAGAGAGTAAGAGAGAGATGGTGTTACAGTCAGAGATAGAGAGAGACTAAGGGAGGCAGTAAAACGTATTGTTATAGTGAAAATATGTTTATGTAATCGAATTACACTTAGCCAAGGGGCAAGTTTCTCCCAAGTTTAACTGGCAAGAAAGTCAAAGTTCAAGTTTCAGTTATAAATTGATTTTTAATTGAAAAAAATCAAAGAAATTGCATGAAATAAAATAAAATTTAAAGGCTGTCTGAAGTTGCAGGTAAACTCGAATTGCTTGGGGTCAAGTCTGTCTATCGCATTTCATCAGAGTAATCGAAGTATTGCGGACGATAAAGCACTTCCAGGCAACTGTGTTCGTCGAAAATGGAAGCAAATGCAGGCCAAAGTGTAGCTTGACATATATAAATTGCTTGCCTAAGAGGCGATTTAATGCACAAGTCAAATTAAATCTTTGTTAATCTAGGGAGATTCCCTCAAAGCGTAGCTCGCGCTCTCCCCCTCTTCACCTCTCTCTGGAAGTTCCATTAAACGTTCCATGGGCATTAGGCAAAGTGTTAAAATTATGATCTGTTAAGTGTCTAAATACGCACAGTGAGGCAAGATGAGCGACTGCTTAATAGATGATGTTGATGGTCGCTGTGTGGGCGGGTGGTTGGGCGGTTGGGTGGTTGGCTGGTTGGCTGATTGTGCCAACGCAGGAGGGTTGTCTGTCCATTCATTCATTGAATGTCGCCTTTGGAGTGTGTATTTAAAATGTCATTTTGTTGTCAACCTCAGACTTCTTGTCTTATGTCAAATTATAATTATGGCGCCATGCTACTAACGACATTAACACAGAGGCAGCTACAGCTACTGTCGTTTCGGGTTTGGGGCCAATGGGGGTTGTGACGACAGTGTCATTAAATTGCCTATGCGCAGTGTGCGAACCCTCCGCTTGCTCAAGTTGCCACTGGCTCAGGCTCTGGCTCTGGCTCTGGGTTTTGTTTCTTGCTTCATTATCAGCATCGAAGGTTAAAATGCAGACGAGCCAGCGGCAAACGTTACATTTTCTATTACACTTGGCAAAATTGTAACGTTAAACGTTTGAAAAACTTTGTTTTAAAATCACTTAGCGTCTGCTTCACACACACACACTCGCACACTCACACGCACACACATGCATAGCTGAAAAGGGTGCAGAGCTTTTCTCGTCGCTGTCGCCTTTTGCAAAGTGGTGATAATTTTTGCTTTGTTGCGAAAATTACAGCATTTTAACCCGGCTTCTGGCTGCTTGTCAGCCCCGGCAGCCAGCAGCCAGCAGTCAGCATCCTGTTACGCCCCTCCTCTCGCCCGCCTCATCGCAGTTTCTTGCAGTGCTCTCCTTTGGTTTGCAACGGACGCGACTTGTGTCGACTTTTAATGGTTTTCATCTTATTAGCAGCAAAGTTCTTTGCCGCCGTTGCCTTTGTTGCCACGCCCATGCCCGCGCCTTTACGGTCGACACTGCACAAAATGGCTAACAGCAACAGATTTATTTGCAATATTTGCTCATTTGGCAAAACGCCGTCGACGCAACATTCGAGTCTTTTGTCTTAGCCACTTTGGGCTCTACCCACTGCCCCACTCGCCGACGTCTGTTGGCCTCCTCGTGCTTACCACTTCGTTAGTTTGTTGACGCTTACTAGAGGAGCGTATAGCTGTTGCCACGCCCTTAAAACCAACTACCCATGGCCGGTGCCCGCTTGTTGCTCGCCTCGGTGTGGGGTCGGCTGTGCGGCGCATAATTAAAAAAGTTTCATTTCATTTTGTTGGTTTTCTTGGTTCGTTTCGTCTGTTTATGTTCATTTGTTTTCTTGTGTAGGTTTCTTGGGTTTTCTTCTTGACTGCCGCATGCCTCACACCGTTTGCCGCCCGTTGCCCGCCGCCTGCCACAAGCTGGCAATATATTTGTAGGCTGGCCGGGTTGGGTGGTTCGACCGGCTTGTTGTTGCCGCCCTTGTCCTAATGATTGCCGCCTTCTAGCATTTTTTGCATGCTTCGTTTAATTTAATATTAATCTAAGAACTTTGTTTGCTTTTCGCGTGTTATTCTTGTCCTTCTTCGCCGTCGACTTGCTGCAAAAACTTGCAAATGAGTTTCGGCTTAGCCATGTTGTTAATATGTAAAGAAAACAGTTCAGATGAGCCACTCTCTTCCATGTGGTTAACAACAGTCTTGGCCAATTGCCATGGCCCAGAGTGTGTGTGTCATTTATTGATCATAAGTTGCTTTGCAAGCGCTTTAAAGAGTAAATGTATTGGGTGTTTCTGTGAGAGCTACACAAGTTGGTATCGTAATAAAACAATTAAATATATTTTTAATAATAATTAAAAGGTCTTTTTGTATACAAAATTATATGGCATTATTGTTTCAATATGTTTTCTGTCATGTGGCCGCTACGGCTATTTTCTACGGCTATTTGCAATTTTCACCACTGACTCTGTCTGTTCATATAGCATACCAAAGCGCAATTTTCTGTGGATGTTATTTCGATAAATGCTTGTGATAATCTTTACTTCAAATGCGATAATGCTGCTTATTTACATAACATTTAAATCAAAAATGAGCTTCATCAATATAAACAATAATTTCACGAAGTTTGACGAACAGAACCAACATTTTGACACAAATGGCTATAATTTGCAAATGTTATTGTAGTATAAGTTCATTAGAAATAAATGTCAATCTAAAATCAATAAGCAACAAATATCATTTGTCAAATAACTTAACAAGTCAAGCAGTGTAGTCAACTCAAAGCTGTGTGCCTTTATAAAAATTCCCATTTATAATGTAGATTAGAGATTCATTAAGATATGTTAACTTTATAAGTTTTGAAAAAAGTTTAGTTTTAGCTTATATTACATGCTAAAAATACTTCTTAGTATTAGCTGCCCAAATCTTAAATTTTCTATATTAAAATTAAAAATTTTTGGGTTGACCTGCACATGTTGTAAAGAATTCTTAATTAAAGATTTCAGCAATTTATAAAAACGTTTAAACGTAGAATATTTGACTTTTGGTTATAGTGAAATATCAAGTAAAGGTTTTTGGGCAATTTCAAAAGATAAATTCAAAATGGATTTTTCGGGTTATCAGTGAAGTCTAATGGAATTCAATAGCTTCCCATTTTTGAACTGCTATTAAAATTATTTTATTTTTTATTTAGCTCTTTAGGCCAAATCGATTTAAGTAGTTTTCAAGCCAAAAAAATAATAATAATAATTCGAGTATTTTTGGTTTTTTTAAATATTTTATATTTTATTTATTTTTTGAATAATCTTTTGAAATATGACTCAATTAACTTTGTGCATATTATGAAATTGAATGGTTGGCAACAATAAACTCTGCAGCTTTACCAAACATTCATATTTGCTGATTAACTCATGCGTTTGGCATTCGAAGTGTTTGCGCCACGAATTTTGTGTTCGCGCCCCTTTTGGAAGTCTGTCTGAGTGGGTGAGTGAACCAACTCGAGCTGATGTCAGCCCAATGGAAATGGCATTTCCATTCTTGCTCACATTTCGAAAGTTCATGCCGCCTTATGAATATTTCAAATATTTCAAGCTTTCGGTTTGGGCGAGATGGCGGCAGCCGTCCCGCTGTTATGGCAACTCTGCGCAACCACTATAGGGTTGCCATGCCAAAGTTACTTATAATTGCAGTTCACTGTTTGACCGATGCATTGGGCAACAAACGGACGCACACACGCAGTTAGTTAGGCTCTGAACGTTGCCTGGTTCATCAGACAGTTCAATCATTCAATCATGTCATGTCTGCGTGGCTGCTTTGTTTTGTTAATGACTTGCTAGCCTTTGGTTGCATTGCTAGCCACAGTCTGTGCCATAGGTAGACAAGTCTGCATATTTATATTAGCCTTAAATCTTACCTTATACCCAAATCACTTACTTAATCTCTCTTTCTCCCTCTCTTTGTTGGTCTTTTTAAGGCAAGAGCTTTACGCTGACAATTGTCATCTCAACGAATCCCATACAGATCGCCACCTATACGAAGGCCATCAAGGTAACTGTGGATGGGCCACGTGAGCCACGCTCCAAGGTGCGTCATCAGGGCTTTCATCCGTTCGCATTTGGACCACAGCGTTTTGGCCCGGATCCACTTATGGCTGGATTACCCTTTAAGTTGCCAGGTATGTAAGCCGCTTCCCTCGAAAATCCCATTGCCCCAAGCGCCGCGCTGCTCGTTAGGCCAGGTATTGATGTCGTTACGCAGTGGATAGACACGATGAGCTCTAATCATTTGTTTATAATCATGTCTATTATAAGGGTTAAACAGGCAGCGAGCTGCCCGGGGCTACGGCAATTTTTCACTGAAAGAGGCTTAAATTACCTTATCTCGAAATTTAACTGATGACGGGCAATTAGGTATACCTGAGTTACCCAAGTCATATGCCAATAAATGGCTCAAGCGGCTTGTAGTTAACTCGCCGAGATCCACTTTATGAAGGGCAACTAGATTTCTATGTATTTGAATGGAAGGAAATTAAGAGCTCAAGGTATAGGCATGGACTAAAACTCATTGGGGACTTGAGAACTTAATAAATTTATAAAGATTTTATCAGACTAAGCTTTGCTGAAAAAATGAAAGAAAACTTGACGCCTTAAGACTTCAAGTCGCACTCGAATATTATATTCCTAGTTTTTTAACTTTATAATAAAGTATTTTTTTTTAAGTACTACAGCTTTAAGTTAGCGGCACAGCTTAAATTGATAGCTCGCTTAAAAGATTTCAGTTACATTTTGTTGAGTTTAGTTTGTCATTTTATTATGAATTAACTTGTAACAGATCAACGATTGCAAACTGTTGCCAGTTGCCAGTTGCTTCAAAATGTTGGCAAACTTATTGTGCACTTCGTCCATTTTATGGCGATTATAATGTCGAAGCTCACTCTGGTTGAATGGGTACGGAAATAAGCAGAACTGTCTCATTTAAAGTGAGTTCACCTCTCAAGCTTATGTCGAAACGACATTACATCCACAGAAAATTAGTGTGGGCTGGGGGAGTCATTGTTTTCAAAACTGATAATGTTCATGATTTTAGTGATTGTACAAATAAATGTTTCAAATTAATTCAAAATCATATTGAAACATTAATGTCATAAGACTTAATATATACTAAATACCATATCATAAATATTAAAAATAAATTTCATTACTTTATGTTGACTTCAACTTGTACAACTCTAAAAAGACCACACCTATAGGCGTTACTATTTACTTGACTTTAATTAATTTAATTAAACTAACTTTAAGACTATCCACTTAATCAATTATGCCTATAAAAACTATAGAGTGGTAACAATATTATTAACTGTGACAACTGCCAACAAAGACTGTGTCCTTTTGAGGTTAAAAGTTTTTTTTTCATAACCAGTTTTCTCCAGTGGAAACGGCGCTCGTCAGTGTTTGATGCTGTGCCTGCGCGTTACATTTGTAGCTCAGAGCGGGATGCCAGCTATCATTAACAGTCGAAGGACATTAGCATACGGACGATGACAAATGCGTGTTCAGTCAGGCGCCGGGGCCTTGCGACAGGCGTGCAAACAGATTCGCGTTGCCCTTTTGTTAAACCCCAATGCATCTGTTTGCCCTATTTATGCGCCCATAATGCGCACACACAGGCAGACCTAGGCAGAGAATAGAGGCGACAATTATATAACAAAACAACAGCTTGAAAAATCCATTAAAATGATTTTAATCCTTTAACGAGTCACAAAACGGCAGCGGCGCCAACTTCGACTCGCACAATTCGAAGATGAGCAGCTTTGAGCAGCAACCCCCGAGCCATCAGCACGCGCCACCTCCCCTCAGCCAACCCTTAACAATAGTAGTCGCCCTCGGAGCGGCAGCAGCAGGCGTAGACTTAAATTATTTTAAAGCGCTCGTCGCGACTGTTGCAACAATAAACACGCGATATAACCAGACTGCGAACAAGGATAACGTCGGCAAGGACAATGCCGAAGACTGCGAAAAGTCGCTGCTGTCGCCGTCGGCATCGACAGCGACATCGAAATCGTCGCCTGGTAAACAAATCCCGTTTGATACGCTTTGATTTTATTAAAATTTAACAATTTCGCTATGAAATTTATGAGGCGACAAGTGGGTGAATGCCTCGCTAGGTGGTGCAACCACCACCGCCACAGCCGTCGCTATCATCGTTCATTTGTCTCTTGGCTGTTGTCTGCTGTCTGCTGTCGGTTGCCTGTTGCCGCTGCTTCTATCACTTTCTCTTTTGTCTCAGCTTCTTATTAACTAAGCCAATTGGAATCTTGGCTTTCAGCACTTGCAATATTAAGTTTTCAGCAAAGTTTTCAAAGGGCAGAAACTAAAATTTATATTTGCTTTGCCAAACGCATTTTTTAAATATTTAAATATTTTTTGTTGATGCATTTAATAATTGTCTTTGGCATTTAGAGTGGTCAGAGAGTAGTTGGCTGTAGCTGCAGCTGCAGCTTGATTCGTTATGAAACAAAACTTCTGCGACTTTCGACTTTTAGCTTACATTCCAAACATAATTGAAGTATTTAATTATACAATTCAACAGCTGTTGAGCAACCAAGACTTTTCGAGTAGCTTTAAGGCAGTTTAAGAAATTTAAGAAAATCTTTTCCACTTTTTTGTTTGCATTGAGTTTACACAATTTGCTCTAAGCGCGACTCTATCTATATTCTCTACTATATACACACAGTATAGGCAATCTATAAGCTATGAGAGCTGTCGAGCTGCAGTATTCAAATAAAAACTAACAACTAATAAACTTGAACTTCTAAAAAAAATATATATAAATTGAATAATTATTTAAGTCAATCATAAAAAATATCAATAATTTCAATAATTTTTTTAACTTATTATTATTTTAAAAACTATTTTTATAAATTAAAAACTTAATCAATAAACTGCAATAATAAACATTTTAACATATAAATAACATATAACATATCAATAAACATTTTAATATATAAATTGTTCTAATAAAATTTTTTGCACCTTTATAAATTTTTTTACAATAAATTCTGAAAATAAAGCTTTCACATTTTTAAAAACTTATTTACATTAAGGTATTACATTTATTTAATTTATTTTTGAGTATAGAAAATAAGACCCAAGCTTAATTATTTTGCCCATAAATTCTCATATTAATATTATTTACCTTTTTGATTTCTTTTGTTATAACTAAAATGTCAACAATTGAACATCAGCAACATATTATAAATGTTTTTGTTGTTGATTTTCTTACTGTTTTATGTTAGTTTCGAAATGAGTTTAGTTTTGTTGAAGAATGTTTCGATACAAGCTGGAGCAGATGATTTTTTTTTTGTTCTTATTTATTTGGTTTTTTTTTTGGAAAACTTTGACGCCCCAAAAGTTTTTTGCACTTGCGAACCGAAACTGCAAAGTGACACAGCAGCAAAAAAGTGTCTCAAAATTACATTAAAAACTAAAAGGCACTAGCCATGTGTGTGTGCGTGCGTGTGTGTGTAGTTTTGGCATACACAAAATGTAGTTGACACTGGAGTGCTGCGTGTCACAGAAAGTTTGCCAAATGATTAAAAGGACTCGACGCTGGTGCCTGCTGCCAGCAAAATAGTTGAGCTGGCTGGGAAAAAGCGAAGCCAAGTGCTTTTCTTGATGGAACGGAATAAATATTAAATGGCGTCGTAAGCAGGGCACATTAGTGCCACGCCTCTAGCCCAGCCCCAACCCGCCTCGCCAACCCAGCTCGCTCGTTGCCAGAGTGCAAGGTGCCCGGGGGCCACGTCACGAGTGTGTGGAAAGTGGAAAATTTGTAACTTCCGCAACGGATATCCTGTTTCATACACGCGCGCCCTCTACGCCGCGCGCGCTTATGTGTGTGTGCATGTGTGTGCGTGTGTGTGTGTGTGCACGCGCTGGCAAGCCTTTTGAAGTTGCCTTCAGCAGCTACAGCAGCAGAAGCAACTAAAAAAGTTTCGCGTTCGCGTTTTTAGTGAAAATTATATTAAAATTTTGTGCTTGATGTAATTTATGTCATAAAACCCATCTGAAAGTAGACACATGTGTGCATAATTACACACAGACTCTGCATGTGTATATGTGTATGTGTGTGCGGGTGCTAATGTTTTAAATTAATTTTCAACTTGAAATCATTTTTCAGCTCATTGTCTTGAGGCCCGCACTAACAAGTAGCTCACATATATGTGTGTGAATGTACATATACATATATATATATATATATAAATATATATATATTTACAGGACATATATATATATTTATATATATTTAAAATTTTGGGCAAGCGTATTTATTTAAAACCCTTTTGCCGTCAGCCGTTTTGTGTTGTTTGCCTGGCAGGACCTTGTGCGAGGCAGCACGTCAAAGGCAATGCAAAAGGCAAAGGCAAAGATCAAAGTGCGCACCACGCACATCATTACACACACACACACACACATAGGAGTTCCTTTTTTTTGCTTGTTTATATAGTCACTTGGGGCATTAGGCCTATGAGCCTGTATTAGCGCACTCTACTAGAGCAGCTGATGCTTAAAGCTAAGCGTCTAAATCTTTTATCTATGCGCCTCATCTGCTTTTCGTATTTACATTTTTGATAACATCTTGACGTGCTTAAAATTATATACTATTAGAGTTAGAGAAATTCAAATTAGAGTAAACTAATTAAAAATATTTGTAATATCAATGAGTTCGAATTTATTGAAAAAATTGTATGACATTAATGTATAAATATAATTTTGTTATTTCTTGTATTTTACATATTTTCACCCATTTAACCAAAAAGAGCTTCATCATTGTTTACGCCATAAAATTGATGAACAAAACCATTATTATTATGACAAACAATTTCAGCAAATTGCAAGCATTGCTCTGATGGAAATCTATCCATAATGAAATGTCAAATCAAATTAAATTAAAAATTAAATGGGTTGTCAGAAAAAAAACTGTGCCAACTTAAAGCTGCAAGCTTCTTAAATAACAGTTTAAAATTGAATGTAAGAAATGAGATTCGTTGATTAGAAATTTTGAGCAACTAACAAATCAAAAAAGTTTTTCATTGAAATTGTTTACTTTTTCTACCAATATTACTGGCTAGATTGCAGTATAAAAAATATTCTATATTAATAAAAATTTTTGTGT